AGAGAAAAAAGGAAAGAGAGAGAGAGAGAGAGAGAGAGGTTTTCGGTTGTTGAAGAAAAGGGAAGTGAAAGAGGGAGAAGTGAAGAAGGTTTTATACAAGGGGACCTCTGTAATTTAATCACATGGCTCTACTATTTTTTTTATTTGATTTTTTTTCCCTCTTTTGGATGATTTTGGTTAACTTTTTTTTTTTTTTTTTCTCTTAGATTTGTTTCCAGTGAGAGAGTGTTGTGAGTGGGAAGGCGATAGTGCTCAGGTTCCCTCGTAGTTTTAAAAAGAAAATATCCTTGCCATGCTAATATTATTTTATTCACATTAATCTTTCAAATAAGCTCAGCATATAAAATCTTACCAAAAAAGTTATTATAGACTTTTGATCCTATAGTACAAAAGTTAGATTTTTGTTTTCTCTTACCCAAATAGATACATGTTTATGATTCCTATTTTTCGTTCGAATACAGTAAATCGTAACTATATTAATAATATAATTTATCAAAATTTAGTCTCTTTCAAGAATCACGTAATAAATAACGAAATGTTTGTAATCATATATTAAAAATAATGGTAAAGCTCATTAAAATTTTAAAATTTATAAAATGGTGAAAAATTAATCCCTAAACTTTTTGCTCAATATATTTATTTCTCAACTAATAAAATATATCATTAATTTTCAAATTTGTTAATTATTGTTAGTAAAAACTTTAACGATGTTGATCTACAAATTGGTTTACAAATTAAAATGATATATTTTATAAATTTAAAAATTATAATGATAAATTTTATAAGTTTTGAAGTAAATTTGTGAAGTAAAAAATTAAATATTTTTTTTTTATCAATTTACGAGTTGGAATTTTAATGGATTTACCTAAAAATAAATGTTAATTCAATGATTACAGGTGGAGTTTTCTGTTGGATGTATTTAGTATTTACCTCTCACAGTCGGTTTGAACTTTCTTAAGTAATAAGTTTTTGATTTTTTTTTTCTTTGTTCCATTGGAACTTGCTAACTCATCTAGTGAAAAATAGCAAAGTTTTTGTCATTATATATATCAATTTTTTGTGACGATATAATGATATCATCTTTAATAAAATTATTAAAAATCGATAATTTTCTATCAGTTTTTTATAACACATTAAAAAAATAAGCTTTTTATATTTCATACAAATATTTGTTACGTGAATTTTATTTTTTTTTGGGCTAAAAATTGTTTCTTTGGATTCAATGTCAATTAGACAATAAAATTAATCATTACCTTATTCGTTTTAACTAATCATTAAGATTTTTATAAGTTCGTTTAAAACGAGTTGAACCCAAAATTTTTAACGATCTGAATTGGTTGAATCGAGCCATCTATCCACTTAACGATGTTTTGATTTTACAAATATATACAGTTATAACTAAAAATTAATATCATATGTGTTTGTATTTTAATGATGCACTATAATTTTATGTATGTTTGTATTTTATTTTCTTATCTATATATATAATATTTATTTGATCTGAATATGGTTTTTTTATATTTTATAACTTATTTGGTTTTAGTTGATAATTTTATTCGTAGAATCTGAATTACACTTATGTTTATATTACATTTCTCTAACTTAATATATTGGCCGAATTGGGTATTAACACACACACACACGTATTGTTTATATTAGAAAAAAAATGAACCATTTATATAATTACTCTTGTACTAATTAAGTAGTTTATCCGTGTTATATAATATATGTGTGTGTAATATTATTTGTTAACTAAAGACAATATCAATTAGAATATCCTTCACTTTTTGTGGTGTGTAATTTAATAACATGTAAATTCAAAGATCCGATCCAAGGAATGATAGAATGATGGATTATATTATATTAACTGATCAAGAAGATTATATATTCATCTTTGATATAATCGTACTTGTAATAATATTATAAAAGTCCAGGGCTCCTCTATTGTTATTTTATATTCTATAAACATAGAAGAAATAAAGCATATCCCCTATTTTATCATGCCTACCATGTTGGTATATATTGTTACAATTTTATTTTTACTGCTTTAAATATTTATCTAAAAGTTTATTTATTATTTATTTAACATTATTTATGCTGGTGTTGGTCGGAAACAGCACCACCATTCAGGCAATTTTAAACTATTTATAGAATACACCATGATAATTAATATTTTTAGCAATGCATGAATTTTGAAATTATATTCTCACAACTTATTACAATTTTTTTTATCTTTTATAGCGCGAATTATGTTTTCTATGTACTGGTATATCTAGGAATAATAACTTTAAAATTTTATGAATCCATATTAGCTAATATTTTGTTAATATGATATTGACTATAATATATATTGCACATTATATTGTATTTTAAAATTTTATTTTTCATATATAGTAAAATAATAGAATATATATTGATTATTTTCAAGTTTATATATTAAAAATTTGAATCTTTCAAGTTTAGAATAAAAATGAAAAAACTCAAGTTTAATACATTCACATTTACTTTAGGTTCTTGAAATTCTATTCACAGATGAGATTGGGCATGGTCGATTTTGTTTTTCTCAAATGAATGAATTATCTAGAAGAGACAAGGAAATAAAATTATATTGGGAAATGGATGGAGAACACGTGGCAATTATTGTCCGTTTGGACCGCGTAACGTCGTTCGATGCTGCATCTGGTCCCTCTCCTCGCCCATATTGCGTTATTCATTTGGTTTAATAAAGCAAAACGAGCCCATCTCAAACAAAAAACATTATTTTATACAAATCCAAAAGATGAAGATAATATGGCTGAATGTTTTATCTTTAAAATAACGTCTCACAAATCAAAAACAAAAATCATTTCAACCCTAATTGGGTGGTGTTTTAAATAGATTCTAGGGTTGGTTGGAAAATTCACTGCAGTATAACATTAATTTATATAGGGGCCTAAATGTACCTTAATTTTCTCAAATTATATTATTATATATTTTAAGAACCTGCAAAGATTTTGAAGGATTATCTAATATTATTATATATGTATATTATAGTTTTAAACTGTAAATTACGATGATTGAATATATACACACACACGCATATATATATATATATATATATATATATATATTAGATTAGTGGAATCTTTATGTTAGGCATAAAGATTAAAAGGGTGAGTCAGATAGATATGAATGGGCAAAAAGTTTTATGTTTTAGTATTATATCGAAATCTCTGGATCCTTAGCAAATGATTAATGTTGTTGGACCACTTTTGAATATTTAATTAAATTTTCGACCCACTTAGCTATTTTTTTTGGATGATCACAGCGGAGACCTTGAATTCATAAACACCCAAAAAATATTATATACATAAAATAAAGAAACTCAGACGTAAGGGCTTATGCAAGAAATGGTACTATGCCACGTGAAATTAATTTATTCCTCTTTTTTTTTTAAATAATATATTTGTAGTTTCTTAACCTAACTTCGTCGAGGAAACGAGCGTCTCTCCGGAAGGATGAAATATATATATATTTTTTTACGATAAATTTCTGAAATAAAACACACGACAATGGTGAAATTTTGTCGGAGAATGGTCAGAAAAAATGTTCAGCGGAAAATTAATTTTCGCAAATCCATAGACAAATAATGGAGACCCATTTAATAATAAAATCAAAGATAAATATTGTGTTACATGCATATACTTTTATTATTTTCATTCCGCGACGCCTCTTATTAGAAGAAAATCATTCGCGGGAATCCATTTAAAAGCTACTTTTAAAGATCACGTCAAATAAAAATCTTTCTATACAGAATTAAAAAGATATTTCAATAATAAATTAACTTACAATATTTTGTTACATGCTAACAATATGGAGATTTCATTGGAATTTACATATCATAAGATTGATCGTAGTTGAGCCACTAACCGATGGTTACATGTACCAAAATTCGATTAATTAATTCTATGATATTTTTTTAGAAAAAAATTTGCCAATCAGCAATTCTCATCAGTACAAATGTACGATAATTGGAAAAAAAAAATACCCCAATGAATTGGTTCCTTGTTCTTCAAGGTTGTGCAATGATGGGCTTTAGGGCCATGATACGGCCCACATTAAATTAATATTGACGACCTGGGCCCATCAAGCTTTTTATCCAAGCCCAATTGGATCTCTTTCCTCTTGATCAACGTAAAATAAAGTACAAACTAGTTATTTTGAAACAAAAAAAAGAACCCAATGAATTGATTCCATATAAAAATGGGCATATAAACTTCACATCAAATGTCATATGAATAGTAATTATGAAAATTTAAAATTTGTACATTTAATTTGCGTGAAATAACGGCTAAACATATTTCAATTTTGAAAAAGAGATCGATTAGATATTGTGCTTGTAAAATCTATATTTGAATAGAATATGTTCAAACCTTGGATATCATACACTTCTACCAAAATCTACATTTATTAACAATAAAAATAAATTTAAAATTAAGAAGATAAATTCGATTTGCATTCAAACAAAACCGAAACCGAATAGTTTCCGGTTCGATCTCGATTTAATTCATATAACGCCCCTAAACCGAATAGTGTATTTATAGTCGTAGGTTTAGTGAAAAGGAGAACTGGTGGTGGTCACGTGACAGTGAGTGTTTGTAACCTTTGTGGAGACAAGGAACATTGTCTTTTCTTTCTTTTCTTTTTTTTTTTCTTTTTTTTTAATCGGCTGCTTCATTCGTTCTTCTCATTTAAAGGCATATCCAAATTATTCCCCTTCAACAATATTCACCCTATAAACGCTAAAAAAACCCTTTTTTTTAATAATAAAACAACCTTAAAAACCGACCAAATATCGTAATCATAATAAATAAACAAATTCCAATTGAAAAAAGTCAAGTAAATATCATTTAATTTAATTTTTCAATACATAATTAGTTTCACAAAAATATTGTGAATTTAATTTCCACTAGATTATAACGGA